GCCCGTACCTGTGCAGGTGGGAGGGTCTGGCTGCCAGAAGAACCTGTTCTGGATCTGCACACAGGTGATCTGGGCCTCCCCTTGCAGGGTGTAGCCGGGGTTGCACTGGAAGGTGATGGAGTCCCCGGCCTCCCGGCTGTCCCCGCTCCGGCTCCCGTTCTGGGGGATTCCTGGGTCGTTGCAGGACGTGGCTGTGGACACTGCAGGGCATTAAAAGCACTCCTGAATATCAGTGTTTATTCAACACCAGGCCTGCAGCACTGGCTGCCCTCAGGCTCTGTCCTTACCCAGACATCCAGGCCATGCCTTGTTTCCCCAACCCTCCTCCCTCAGCATCCCACAAAGTTCCCCGACACACAAAAAGTGCTTTTCCCTTTGCTCTGAGCATCTGCCACTCCAGCTGGGAAAGGCTCTGGGGACCAGCAAGTTCAAGAGCAGCACCCAGGGAGCAGCTTTGATGTAGAATTGTGCACATGGCTGTTTACTCCATCAGGCCAGACACCCACTGATCCTCCACGGTGCTTTTGGAGAGTTCTGTGCCAAGGCACATGCTGCAAAATCAACTCAGCCACCAGCACTTCACACTTTCCCCTGAGTGCCAGAGAAATTTAGCCTCAAGATCTGTGAAGCATCAAGCCTGACCTTTCAGAAATATGTTTGTTTCCTTTCCAGACTTGTTGCTGCCTCTCTTTGAGGTCTGAGATGTCCCCTGAGCTGGGGACAGGCAAAGCTTCGCTGCTGCCTGAGCTCAAGGTCTGCCAACAGCACATGGATTTACCAGCAGGGAAAATCCTGGAGTAATAGGAGTTTTGTGAGCTTATCCACCTCATTAAAGCTCCCAAGATCCCAAAGTGGACAGGTCTGAGCTCAGGTCTGGCTGCTTAGTCACACCTGCTGAACAAAGGCTTTGAGCAGGAGCAGTCAATAAAGCCCAGCTCCAGATCAGGAGCTTATTTCCTGCTAAGTTGATGAGAGTCTGTTACAGCCAGGCAGTTTAGAGAAAGCTGCTCTTGAAAGAGCCAGAGGAAATCCCTCTCTTTCTGTGCAGCTGGAGATAAGGAAGTTAACAGCCCAGGCTGGTCCTTCCTGGCAGGATGAGACACAAAAATCTGGCAAAAAAACCCCCAGAATGGCACCGCTGTGCTGGGTAACACAAAGCTCTGCCTCTGTCTGGGTCATCCCAAAGCTCTGAAACCCAGCAGAAATTCTCCCCAAAATGTTCCCCCAAGCCAAGCAAGGCACCCTGGACAGAAAGTTATGGAAAAAAAAAACAGAAAACCCAAACTTGGGAAGATGTTTCAATGTGTCTCAGTCCAGACAAAGTCACATCATCACTCACCCAACCACTGCCTGTTTTTATCACTCCAAAACAGCGGCACAAACCTGAACATTTTATAAATATTGGAATATATCACCCTAAATAATTCAAAATAATAGGTTTGCAAGGCTGAGGTTTGGCTGGGGTTTCCCTCTGGGTCTGGTCAGGATTTTGAGGAACCCCTGCCCATCCCCACCTGAGAACTGGATGGCAAAGCCCTGTTTGCTGGTGAAGAAGTCGGTGTTGAACTGCAGGATGACGGAGTTGAAGGTGCTGTGGATGTCCCCAGGCAGCCCCGAGCCGCTCATCTCCTTCAGCAGGATCCCGTTCTCCACCGGCCCGTCCCAGATCCGCAGCACGTCGTGGAACTCCTCGGTGTGGAAAACCATGAAATGGAGCCTGAGGGGCAAAAAACACCCGAAATTCAGGCCTAGAGTGTGGTTTGTGCCAAGTTCAGGCAGCCAGACCCACAGAGAATGTGTTGTTTCATCTGGAATTCAGGCCTGGAGTGGGGTTTGTTGTGGTATTTTTTGAGTCTTGAATTTGACTCCATGTTTTTAGAAGGTTAATTGATTATTTTATATTATTATATTATATAAATTATACTAAATTTTATGTTACATCATTACTAAATTATTATATTATATTATATTATATTATATTATATTATATTATAATTACATTACATGATATTAAATTACATTACATGGTATTACATTACATGATACTATTTATATATATTTACATATGTTTATATTATATATATATGATATATAATTTATATTCTATTACTTATAAATTATTATTATTGCTACTAAATATTATGTTCAATATATTATGTAAATTATACTAAACTATACTAAAGAACAGAGAAAAGACACAGACAGAAAGACAAAAATGAATCTCGTGACTCTTTCCAGAGTCTGACACAGTCTGATTGTGACTGGTTATTAACTTAAAACAATTCACATGAAACCAACGAAACAAGCACCTGTTGGATAAACAATCTCTAAATTACATTCCAAAGCAGCAAAACACAGGAGAAGCTAATCAGATAAGAATTGTTTTCATTTTTCTCTGAGGCTTCTGAGCTTCCCAGGAGAAGGAATCCTGGTGAAGGGATTTTTCAGAAAATTTGATGGAGCTGATCCCTTCCATTCCTGCACTCCAACCCCACCTGGACAGGAGGAATTTCCCTGTCCTTGTTTGTCACTGCCCCATTTTCTCTCTGGCCCAGCAAAATCAGGCCAAGCATGGGCAACTCAACCCCAGTGTGAAACGGGGACAGAAACCTAGAAACAGAAAAAAAAAAAAATTCTGTAAAAAATAAACCCATCAGGTGCTGTGCTGAAATCCCTGCCAGCCCACAGAGGCAAACAGGGAAGCTTTCACTTGGCTGCTTTCCCATTTATCTGGGGCAAACATAAATAAATCAGGGGAGAGCCATAAAAAAAGGGGGAGAAAAAAAAAAAAAAAGAAAAAAGCCCCACTGCAAAATCCTCAGCAGCAAAATGATGCCCAGAGAAGCTGGGAGAAACCAAAAGAGCTGAATCATAAATCTCCCAAGCAGAGACCTTGAGCAAAGAGAAATAAAGCCAGGCTTGAGGAAAATCAGGATGGATGGTGCAGAGCTGTTCTCCACGGCTGCCTTGCTGTGATTACGTTTGTTCCCAGCCTTAACTGGGCCCAGTGAGCCAGAACCGCTGGGAAAAACTAAAAACTCATCCCTGGAGACCTTGGGATCAGGGAGAGGCTGCCAGGGGTTGAGCTGGGCTGGGGGGACACCCTGGGACTGCCACCAGCAACTAAAGCACCCCCTTTTGTCTGAGAAAAAGCAAATTCAGGGGGAAAACACCTGATCCAAATGATCAGGCTGGAATCTGCTGGGATATCAGATCTGGAGCTCTCTGGAGCAAATCCAGCTATTCCACATTGACATCTCAGCTTTTCCCTCAGCCTGAGGTGTGAGACCAGGCACAGCCCCTGCTGCAGCACACAATGGAGGGGAAAGGAGTTTTATTCCTGAGGGAAAGGAGTTTTATTCCTGAGGGGAAAGGAGTTTCATTCCTGAGGGGAAAAGAGTTTTATTCCTAAAGGGAAAGGAGTTTTATTCCTGAGGGAAAAGTTTTATTCCTGAGGGAAAAGAGTTTTATTCCTAAAGGGAAAGGAGTTTTATTTCTGAAGAGAAAGGGGTTTCATTCCTGAGGGGAAAGGAGTTTTATTCCTGTACTCTGACAATCCCAATTTCCCAATTACAAGCATGGAAATGAAGTAAAAAACAAACAAACAAACAAAAAACCACAAAAAAACCCCAAAACAAAACAAACAAAAAGAACCCCAAACAAACAAAAAAAACCCCCAAAAACCACCAAAAAAACCCCCAAAAACACAAGAAAAAAAACCCCAACCAACCAACCAACCAATCAACCAACCAATCAACCCCCAACAAATCAAAACCAAAAAAAAAACTAACAAAAAAACCAAACACCAACACCCAAACCAAACCAAAACCAACAACCAAATTAGAAAGTAGGGAAATTATATTTATGTAAATATAAGTGTGAGAGAGGGGAAGTTCTGCCAGCTTAGCAAGGAGCAGAGAGGAGAGCCCAGCTCTGCCCTGAGNTGAGAATTTTAGAGCCTTTTTGATGGATGAGGAATTTTTCCTGTGCAAACCCACATGTGAGAGCTGAGGTTTAGCTGGTCTGGGAGAAATTTGTGCTTCCAAACTACCATGGAATCCCTCCATGGCACTGGAATGACACAGAGGTCACTCCCACCTAATCCCATGAGAATTTTAGAGCATTTAGAGATGTCGCTCTCCACCACCCAAACCAGAATTACCTTGAGGACATCTCCTGCCTCCAGCTCGAAGGTCCTGGCTTTCAGCTGGATGCCCTTGCCAGGCTGGCTCTGGATGGAGTAGATGCACTCGTGGTTGTTGTTGTAGTTCAGGGGGTAGTTGGGGGACAGCAGCACGCCCTGGGTGCCCGTCACCGAGGAGCCACACTCAGCTGCAGCGAGACACAAAGGCACATCCCAGTGACCCCACGCGTCTGCTGGCCACGGCACACACGCACGAGGCGCCTCTGAGGGCCACAGCTGCTCAGCCCCTGCTGCAGCAGCAAGGAGAGGGCTCCTCCCTGTTGGTGTTCACTACAACCTGTTGNGTGAACAACCCTTGGTCCCTGTGGGTCCCTTCCAGCTCTGGGTATTTTCTCACTGCTGTTTTCAGATGAAACTCTGCGAAGTGGAACCTGTCAACACCCATGAAAATGGGAATTAACAACATCAGTGGAATTTTACAACACTGGGATCAGGGACTGACCACAACTCTGCCATGTCTCTGTGCTCCCTGCTCCCAGCTGGGCAAGGAATCTCCATCCATTTTCCAGCACAACCTCCTGCTTTTCCTCCTCCTTCCTCCTCTTCCTCCTCTCCTCCTGCCCAACCAAGGCACTCCAAGCCCCCTCTGCAAGAGCAGCCCTTTCCCTTTCATGGCTCTGAGGTGCAGACTCATTTTTCTCGCTGTGTCACCCCCCTGCCCTTCCCCTCGTGCTGCGCAGCTACAGCTTCATTCCAAAAGCTCTGGTGATTAATTTTCATGTAAGTTATAAATGAGAGCTTTATGCAATTGTATCATGCGTGAAGAGGATTATTTTTCCAATGGATTACCATAAAAATGAAGTTGCTGGGAATGTGCTCTCTCCACTCCCCTGAGATCAGCTGTGCTGCTGCTGGAGCTGGGAGATGAAAGGGGCAGGGAGAGGGAGCTCTGGTCCCTGGGAAAGGCAGGGTCACCAGGTGTGTGTGGCTCTGACACCTTCCAGAACCTTCTCCTTTCACTGCTGGCCTCTTCCCAGCCTTTGGTTGATCCCAAATCTCTGCTCATGCTTTTAGGGATTACAAGAGCAAAGTTGCTGAAGCAGCCTTTGGATGGGGGGGAAAAGGGACCTCTCTCCTCTGTCCTATAAAAACCTTTTCCAGGAGAACAAAAATAGAGGAGATTTCAAGTGGAAGTTGCCTGTGCAGGGATTCAGCTGCTTTGGCTGTGCTTTTCCTCCTCTGTTCAAACCCATCCATTATTGAGCCATTCTGAAGGGCAGCGCTAATGGAGGGAATTTCTGCATGAAATAAAAATGAAAACAGCAGCCCAAACCTGCCTCCAGCAGAACTCCACGGGCTAAAAGCAGCACAGAGCTCACCCTGAGGGCCAGCCTGTGCTGGGATGGGTGCTGAGGCAGCAGGGAGGAGAAAACGGGATGGAAAGGGAAGGAATTCAGGATGGAACAGCGACGGGCTTGGGGTGAGCCAGGAATGGCTGAGAAGCACTGGGAACTCTGATGGGAGAGGATTATTATTATTATTATTATTATTATTATTATTATTATTATTATTATTATTATTATTATTATTATTATATTACTATTATTATTATTACTATTATTTATCATTATCATCATTATTATTATTGTTGTTGTTATTCAGAACTTTTAAGGTGCATTTCTCCCCCCTCAAATCCCACTCAGTCAAAGCTTGGCTTGCCCAAATATTCCAGTTTTCTGTGGGTTTTGGCCAGCCTGGAATCTCTGGGAACACCCAGGGCAGCCCTGAAGGGTTTGGCAAACATCACTCAGGGGGTGGTGGGGCAGAAGTGAAGGATCAGGGAGAAGGAATTCCCTGGATTCTGGGACATTCCCTGTGATTTCCTACAACACCCCCATTCCAGGATTGTGTGGCCATTCAGCACTTTTGGGATGTTCCTCATTAATCTGGTGGAACAAAAGGTTTGATTCTGGATGCCTCCCATGAAGGAGAGGGGTGGGAAGCTGTCCATGGACACAGAGCTCTGGGATGTTTGAGCTGAGGAACACCATGGGCAGGACCAGGACATGGCCTGGTGTCACCACCCAGGGCTGGAAACAGAGGAGCAGTGATGCCACAGGGGGCTCTGAGCAACCTGGGAAATCAATCCCATAAATCCTCAATCCCATCCTAAACCATTCCCTGATTCTGGAACCAGCACAGTGACTTCTCCTTGCTTGTCCCTCAGCTTCTCCCTCCTTTGCTTTATTTCATTTTTGACCTTTGTTTCTGTGAGAAATCTGTGGGGATTTTTTTTTGTAAAAACCAGCTCCAAGTGGGAAAGAAGCCAAACCACAGGAGCCCAGCTCACCCAATGGTGCACCCAGGCTCTGCCTCGATGGTCCAGATGCAGTTGAGGTTGTGGTCGTAGGGAGTTGGGTATCCTGGAGAAAGGATCCGTCCCGAGGTTTCTCCTCTGATTGTCCCTCCACACTCAGCTGGAACAAAAATATTTATGGGGTTGGGGAGGAGATTTGTGGTTTTCTGTGGCTCTTGCTTGGCAACAATCTCACCCTGCAACAGAGATTATTCCTGGCTTTTCCCAGGGATTCTAAAAAGCTTACAAAGATGAAGGGAATTGTTGAATTCAGCTGAGTTACCAGAGTTATTCTGAATTTCTGAACACCTGGCAAAGCTTCCCTGCACCTTTGTGAATCCCCAGGGAGCAGAGACAGAGCCTGTCAGGATCCTGATTCCCTGCTCCACACGTGGGGGTGAAGGAGCTCTGCTCCTCTGCTTGGATTCATCAGAAAATGAAGGATAAGAAGCCAAAGAACTTGTAAATGTCGCTGTAAATGAACTGCAAAGAATGTGAGGATTTGGAGTAATTTCCATAACATATCTGTTCAAATTCTGTAATTTTCATTTCTTTCCGTTTTCTTTCATTTCTTTTTAATTTCCACACGCTCAGACACGGCCTCATATCCAGCGCACGAAGAGCAAACAGGCTGAAGGTTAAGAAAACGCACAGATGACAGAGATTTATCTTTTTACATCAATAAATGAGGCTGAAATCCCAGCCAAGGACCGGCCCAGCCTCCTGGGAGAGGGAACACGGAGTGCCAGGGGCTGAGCACATCCCTGGGTGTGCAGATCCCCCAGGGGACTCAGTGTCCAACAACTTCCCCACGTCCTGGGCACGGCAGGACAGGAATCAGCAATCAGCCCCCATTCATTTAACACACAAAACCCCAAACGGGAATTCGGAAGAGCTGCAGGTGAAAAGGGAGCTCTGCAAAGGGAATTGAAATGTCTGGGGATGGGATCAGGCGTCAGGCAGCTCTGAAATGAACCTGGCTCTGAGCTGTCACACACGACACACGTTGGTGTCACTATCAGGAGGTGCCACTCACTTCAACATGTCCAGAGTGAAAGGACAAGGCTGGAACAGCACAAGGAAGCAAAAATCCCTTGTCAAACGTGGGTTTAGGGCAGAGGGCTTCATGTTAGAGCTGCTTCAGGGGCTCTCTGTCTCATACAGGAGCCTCGCCACATTAATTAGTGCAGATGGGCAATTAACGGCAGAGTTAATGTCCATGGATCAGCAAAGGGTGGTCAGGGTGGGGAATCCAATTTCCTGGGGGTGCAGGAGGTGTCTCCATCTCGAGATGCCTCACAGAGCAGCCTCACCACGTATTAATTAGTGCAGATGCAATTAATAGGAGAGTTAATGTCACATGGATGAGCAAAGCAGGGGCAGAAGGTGGCCAGGGAGTGGGATCCAAGGAAAACACTTCCAGGAAGTTTTTCCATCTCAAGGACCCTCACCACAGACAACTTAATTAGTGCAGATGCAATTAACAGCAGAGTTAATGTCAATGGGTCAGCAAAGCATGGTCAGGGCATGGAATTCACAAGGAAATAATTTCATGGAATCCACAAGGAAATAATTTCATGGAATCAACAAGGAAATAATTTCATGGAATTCACAAGGAAATAATTTCATGGAATCAACAAGGAAATAATTTCATGGAATCCACAAGGAAATAATTTCATGGAGGTTTTGGAGGAGCAGGAGGTGCCTCCATCTCAAGATGCCTCACAGAGGATCCTCACCACAACTTAATTACTGTAGATGGGAGTAATTAATAGCAGAGTTAATGTCAATGGATCAGCAAAGCTGGGACAAAAAATGGTCAGGGTAGGACCATTTTTTGCAGGGTAGGGTGTGGGACCAAGGGTGTTCAGGGTGTGTGATCCAAATCTCGGTCTGGAGAGTGCTGGAGGAGCTGGAGGTGTCCCCATCTTGAGGACCCTCACCACACACAACTCAATTAGTGCAGATGCAATTAACAGCAGAGTTCATGTCAGTGGATCAGCAAAGCAGGGACCAAGGATGTTCAGGGTGTGGGATCCCAGGAAATCTCTCCTGGAGAAGAAGGAGGAGGAGGAGGAGGAGAAGGAGAAGGAGAAGGAGAAGGAGAAGGAGAAGGAGAAGGAGAAGGAGAAGGAG